ATGCTGAAGGAGTGTCTTCGTTGAGTGCTGACTCCGACAGCATGCACCACCCCCCTGCGCTGTAAGCCCGTGGTATTTTGGGTTCCCCACACACACACACACACCTGACCTGTGTTTATAAAAACGCGCAATCTGTCTCGCTCTCTTTCGCTGTCTCTCTCTCTCTCTCTTTGTCTTTGCTCTCAGTCTCTACCTGCCAATCGATCTTTCCATTTAAGCCCCTGTGAACATGAGCATCTGCCCGAGGTTGCGATGGGGTTGTTCGGGCTGATCAGGCTTCTCTTTCAGAGAAGGGTCTAGCTTGCTTAGGGAGTCCACCCCTCCTGTTTGACTGCTGTTTGACAGGTGGCCTAGTTTCGTCGTTGGCTGGAGGAGTGTGTGCTTCCCTGGGGCTTGCAACACAGCTCGGACGAAGTTTCCGGCGGTGCGCAGTTCATATACACACGGATAGTATGTGTATAATATATTCATATATATATATATACATATATGTATAGAGATACACATACGTATATATATATATATGTAGCTTCTTGCGCATATATATATATATACACATACACACATATATATATATATATACACACATACAAAAATACATACATAATCTCTCCCTCTCTCTCTCTCTCGCTTCGCTCGCTCCGCTCCTGTCGCGAGCATACAGCACAGTTATCTTTAGACGAGTAAGTGTGAAGATCCATTCAGGTCTCGGATCATCTGCGGAGTGGGGGCCTCCTGTACTCCGCTGCTCTTCGCCTGGACAGCGCGTGCCAGGCACCCAGGGAGCTTCCAAAATCGCAGCGAAAAGAATGCCCCATGCAGATGAAAGTGCTGGCCACAGCAGTGACGTACAGGCCGTTCTATCCGTGTCGAGGAAGAAGGAGTAGGAGAGTGGCGGTGGTCGTGATGGTGGTGATGGTGGTAGTGGCGGTAGTGGAGTGGTAGTGGGAGGTGGGACCAGCAGCAGGGCGTTGTAGAAGCAGAAATAGACGTAGTGGTGGTGGTGGTGGTGGTAGTAGTAGTTCTGGCAACAGCAGCAATGGTAGTGGCATAAGTGCTAGAAGTAGGTAGAAGTGGTGGTAGCAGTAGCAGTAGCCGTGGCAGTGGCAGTAGCATGAGCAGTAGCAGGAGTGGTAGCAGTACTTGCCGCAGCTGCGGCTGGGGCAGCGGCAGCAGCAGCAGCAGCAGTTGCAGCGGGAGGAGGCGCAGCTGGAGCAGTAGGAGTGTGGGCGTGGGAGGAATGGTGGGAGCAGCAGTAGCAGTAGAAGGAGTGTGGTACAAGGACGAGCAGCAGCGCAGGAGGGGGAGGAGGAGGAGGCGAATGAAATCTTCTTTTCAAAACCCACTTCCTGACTCATTCACTAAATCGACACATTGCCGGCCTTGTGCGAGTGTGAGAGTCGAAATCGACATGTACAATAGGCTTACTCCGGCGTGCAGGAGGTCGCTGCGGCACAGGCTCCCTGCCTGTTGCTGTGTTGCGCTCGTGAGAGTTGTGCAAATCAGGTCCGGTTGAACACTATGCGTTCGTTGGGCACCTTCATTGGCCCTTTCGGGAGCACTCTTCTCTGTGTGCTGCCCAAGGCTGGTTGGCAGTTCGGGTCTGTGTGCCTGTGGGCACGTCACTATACAGATAGACATGCGGAGACAAAGGGCATGCTGTTGATGAGGGCGGTCAGGGCACGGATTTGCACACGACGATAGTGCCCTGAATTTTTAAATGCTGCGCTAGGAAGGGCTGTTCAACGAGCTCAACTCGGCAGGCACATGCCCACGAGCCATGCGCATGCCATTGACACGGCGGTGTTTCACGGAAATGGTTGGAGGAAGCTCCCAGCCACCAAAGCAGGCTGGGCGATCGCAGCCGCGAACCTCTTCGGCGTTGTGCTGTGTTGCTGTGGAGTTCTCAGCTTCCTTCGGTTGTCGAAGAAGCCTCTGCGCGCGCGGCAGCTCTGCGCGTCAGATCGGCTGACCGACCCTGCCGTGCCTGAGCCGCAGGCCGGTGCCGGTGGAGTTATGGCACTGCAGGATAGGATTAGGTACTCGTAGGGATAGGTCCTTGGGATTCCTTGGTCCTGAAGCACCTGGCCAGTGACACAGTGACACATCGTGCAAGAATCCAAGAATTGAAGGTCTCTGCTGTGGAGCGTGGGCATGGGCAGCCTGCTCCCGTTCCGTCCTTCTCCTGAGCTCCAGCATTGCACGTGCAGGGTCAAAGCAATCAGGTCACAGCAGTCCGCAGCTTTCCGACCACCCCTGTGATCTGGACATGCCTCTTGTTCCAGGCTTCGGACTTTGCTCCAAAGGGGGGCAGGCTGTAAGAGTTGATGCCAGGTAACGACGGCACTGCTCCTGGCAGTGCTTGAAGTGGTTCCGCCGATAGTTCTCACAGACGAGGCGCAGACCTTTAGGTAGCCTTCCGGAGACTGGTGCAGTAGCAGCGACTCCCCTGAGTTTCGGTTGCCACCAGCGGCAACCTCGATCCTTTTCGGCATCGCGTCGCTGGCAGTCATCGCGCTCTTCGCGCTGGTAGAGGCGAGAGATTACAGGAGAATGTAACGCAGTGTGCGGGTGTGTGAACGCACCCGTTGTGTGCCTGATGCCTGTGCTGGGAATGCAGGTCTTGAGTCGCAAGGTAAGCGGCCGAAGTTTAATGCGCCGGACTAAGGATGCATATAGAATCTAGAAATCTTCTGCGATGACGTTTGTTTTAGGACTGCTGGTGTCCTGCTCGTCTCCTGTGGCGCCCTTTGGGCGCAGACCAGTTGGGTTTTAGGCGGGTCGTAGGTGTGACATCCCAAGAGGATTGCGGAAAAAAGTCAGCATCTGCAGCAGGTGCGTCCCTCGTCGCAGCTAGGCAGCAGGTACCGGAAGAGCCCAGACTTTGATCTCAGCGCGCGCGCGTTTGCCAGCCGCCGGCCTTTTTGCTAAGGAGTTCGTGCTGCCATGGCTGGCTCTGCACCAAGCGAGCTGGCCTTTTCAGCTGGCCTGAGGGTTTTGATCGGGTCCCCAAAGCTTCGTTTCAGATTTTCTCACGAGGTGCTTGCAGTGGCACCAGCGCCACTCCTGCGCACGCCGGCGCGGACTCTTTACACGAGTCATCTGCCGAAACATGTGCAGGTGCACAGTTGTGTGCACGGGTGCGCGAGGGAGCATCCCTGACAGTTTCAGACAGGGCACCATGCAGGGCATCTCAGAGGCAGCCTTCTCCTTCGCCAATTTCCTGGGCCCAATCCTGGGGAGCCACGTGGCCACTTCAGGCTGGGGCATGTGCATCCGGAAAGTTCTGTGGCTTTTTCCTCTTCGAGGCGGCTCCCAAGGGCTTCGCCTGACGATTCTCGGCCTGGTCGTGGCAGAGGTGTTGCTCCTCTGCGTTGGATTTTCGCGTCAGGGCCTCAGGCCGAGGCCGACTCAGGCCTTTGAGTCACGAAGTCTGGAGTTCTCTCAAGACCGAGGCCTCGTTCCAGGGTCTGAGCTCTAGCAGCCTAGCATGCAGCAGTGTGCAATTGTTTTCTCGCTTACCTTCGCATCCGCATTCACGAGAAGCAGCGTGCAAATCCCATGTGGCGCGTGGCCAAAGCCGCCACTGCAGCCGTCAATGGCCCGTCTGGGGGAAAGAAGCCCGGCGAAGCAGTGCTGCCGATTGAGGCAAAGCGCGGCCGCATGCTCTTGCACTGCGGTGGATAGAGCTGCCACATGATTTGAAGCTAGCAAAGCGACATGATAAGGCAGTACCTGTACCAAAACAATGACAGGCATGGATTCCTCGAACGCTTACCTCTCGCGACCCTAAGCCCCAAATCTTTCATTTCGTCACTCTGAGCAACCCTAAATATCGCTAGAGTCACTAATGCTAAAGTCACTAATGCTAAACTAATCTAAACTACATCCGCCCCTAAACCCATGCTCGGTAAGTGTGGTAAGAAGGGGGGTCGCATGTGAGCGCTCGCATGGGGCCCATCTCCTCCATCTCCGTCCTTGGCTCGGAGAACGCGTATAGGACCACCACCAAATCGGGGGCCCAAACCAGCCGAGCAACGCCGTTTGCGATGCAGCGAATCTTGCACGATCGTGATTTGTAGCGCACATCGCTTGTGGTGGCGCGTAAGCTAAGCAGACCCTGGCCAGAGTAGGAAGAGGAAAAGGGAAAGTGTGGAGCCATGTGCGAATGACGAATGCAGCGTCCTGGCCTCGGTCATTCCAGCTGCTTACTGTGAAATGCCGTGACAGTATGTGACAATGCTGTGCAGCGGCCCAGGCTGGCTGGTGATCTTTACATCGCCCGGGGGCCGTGGCTGTTTGGTGACGTAGGGAGAGTGGCTCTTGCGAGCATTGAGGCTGTGTTCCACTGGGACTGCTGAGCTGTCGGAGTATTCGGAGTTCGCCGGGAGCCCTCGAGTGCTTTTTTCATGATGTTGGTGCTGCATCTTATCCCGCAGTATGGCAATCCAACGTCCTCAAGTAGCTCGCACTAGCCACGCAATCACGTACATGGACTCGCTACCATGGCGAGGCGTCAGGTAGGATCGCAGAAGCCAGGCGGATTTTCCTGCCAGCGACTTCTCATCGATATGTTGTCCGCCCAAGTTCAGTACTGCTGCACTAATTTTAACCCCAGATAGGTTGATTCGGGGCCGGGGGGCTGAAGTGCGGGGAGCTTTGGTCAGGCCATCAACTTCAGGGTTCTAGCCTGTGGAAGTACACACGACAGATCGGGATCTCGAAGCCGAAAAGTTCCCTCCGCACACCGAAGAGAACCCCGTGAAGAGCCAACTCCGTGACTGCGGAGGGGTGGCGTCATCAAGTCAGAGGAGCTTTGGATCTGCGAGATTCTGCGAGGCCAAAGCCTTCCTAGCGAGCTGCCAACTACGAAGCCAGCACTTGGACCCGGCAGTCGCAGCCTCAGCCGTCGGAACCCTCCGGCTGCCAGTCCCTCACTCACGCAGGTCTGGGAGACCTCGAGCGCGAGCCCCCCTGGCCCGAGCCCTCTCTCACTCTGCGCAGGGGGCCCTGAAATCCTGGGCGCATGTGCACGTAGGAGCCCTGCAGGGCCTGGCCTGAGTCGGCCCTCCTGAGGTGGATGACTGCTCCGCGGGCTCCGAGGCTGTAGCAGGGACAAAGACATGTGCGTCGGAAGAGGCGACTGGATATGGTCTGAGGCAGTGATCCTTGACTTCCTGGAGCCGTTTAGTGCGGTGGAGCCGCCAGAAAGTGGAGTTGGAGGAACCCTCGATGCAGACCACAACTACATGAGGTCACTGTTTGTACGCATCCTGGGCAGAGCCCCTCACGTGCTCATAGCCCAGCTTTCCGAACGTGACTGGCATCCTGGTACTCGAATCTTGTATGCTTGAAGATCAGGCACGCCGAAGCGTCAGGTTGCTGTTGGAATGTGCGAGTCCTGGGAAGATCTCGGCATGAATAAGCCTCCATCTGCCCGAACCCAGGCCTAGAAACCGACCCAAGCCTGGGCCTCGGAGTCGTCTCAACAGACGTGGGTTGTCTCAATGGTGGCAAGGGGAGGGTTCTGACGTTCTGAGTTTGAACTGGGATAACCACGCGGTGCAGCCGTTTTCTCCTCAAGTCGAGCCTTGCTGGGAGAGCGCCTGAACCCAGCTGCAGCCAGTACCTGAGCTGTCTCGGCGGCTGCGTTGTGTGAAGATCGCGCAGGGCGCGGAGCCAACAGCCGAGGCATGGGAGAAGCCGGCAAAGGTGGGATGGGACATCGGGAAGGGCAGTACAAGCTGTCCAGGTGTGCCCCACTGAGGCGTGGCCTATCTTCCTGGTGGGCACTATGCCGAGCTCGGATGCTTCGAGAGTGGCCTGGCGTCAGGCGGGCGCGTGTGTGGGCTCCGGGCTCCATGGAGTCCAGATCAAAATGCCCACTAGGAAAGGGTATTGAACATGAGGAGCTTCCATTGTCTTCCATCCATTGGCTACCTGTGGGAAGGCGACCCTTTTTCCGAAGCTGATTGGTGTGACGTGAGGCCCTGCGCCGCTGACCCACGTTGACTCCATGGAGATTACGAACGATCCGCGTTTCTTTCAGGAAGAGTGCAGCAAATTCGACGGTGTGCATGGCCCCACTGCCGGAGTGGCTTTGTTTTTGCATGAAAACAGTGGCATGGAGGACAACGTGATCAACTATCGGCTGGCAGCCTTTGCAGGCCTCGGTGTCGTGGCCGGGCTCATGGTCCAGAACTCGATGGTGCCTTGTGGAAGCGCTAGCAGCTTTCGTGTTCACTTTGGCTGCGTGTACGTAATCTGTTGCTCGCTGTCACACATTCGCCCAGGACCACTTGTTCGACATGAGAAAAGACATGTGTGATTGGTATAAGGGGCCTCAGCACCTGGACAGCACCTGCCAATTCATTGCCTTCCTTCTGCTCGGGCTGGTGCATTTATTGAACGTCGTCGCCACCTACGTCGGTGTTGCGCAGCCCTACCACACGGTACGTCTGATGACCGCCGGCCCGACCGGAAGCCAGGCCGAAACTTAAATTTGGTCCATGATGGCCGACACCAGCAGGTAGCACTGTAAAGGCAACGTGTCTGTGTCATCCCCTTCTCCAGAAAGAACAAGTGATTGAGGATTTGAGTCAGCTGCCTGCGACTTGACAAGCAGGAAGACGCGCTCGGCAAAGAAGGGAGATTGAGTGTTCAGATGATTCCAGAGGGTTTCCGGCAAGGGGGCCCAGCAAGGTTACTACCTCAACAAGAACATCATCGCCTGGCGGCACTTTGCCATCAAAGGCGCCCTGATCAGCCTGCCGATGTTTGTGGCCAGCACTGGGCTTCGCAGCCTGGGCAAGAAAAAGACCATGTGAGACATAATGACTGGGCATCATGGCATGGACATCGAAGACATCCAGGTCTAGCAATTGAATGCACAGGACACAGGCAAACAGGATGCTTGTGATTCGTGATGATTCGTGTTAACGAGGCCTGACATGAGCCCTTGCGAGCCTGTCGCTGTAAGGCATGGTGGTTAAGTTCGACAGAGAGCTCTGGGCAGCAGTTAGGGCCAGATCAAGGCTGAGAGTGGCACGATCGCTTCGCTATTCCATCAGGTTGAGAAGTGGTTGGATGCATAGATGTTGCAAGCACGATGCAGCCGAGGAAAATATGGCCGAACCGGATCTGCCAAAGGACCTGCCGGACACGTGCCGTCACATGGGCTTCGGTGCGTGGCCTGTCTGACACTTTGTCTCCCCCATTCGTGGATGAATGTCGTGCCTCAAGCAGCTCAGCCACCCAGGTGTTCAATGTTCATGTTCATGGCATGCTGTGTGTGCCACTTGGCTGGTACAAGTCCGGTAAGCATGTCTGCGTCAGCATGCGCTTATCCTCGTCGTTCTTGAGGTTTTTTCTAACTTAAAGCATCATGTTGTGGTTCTCGGGGGTGTTGCGCTGAATAGTAATTTTCATGCTGCCTTGCCCAATTATTGTCTGGCAAGCGCTCGCTGCTGCTGGCTGAATGAAGCCTCGTGAACCCAGTCTACATTCATCGGAAGCACTTCAGCATTTTCGACGAGCGCTACGCGCAGTTGGAAATGAACCTTCAGCAACACAAAGAGGTCCTTGTTACGATGTCACAGAGAAACACCGCCAGGTGGGTCGGGGAGAATTGGATCTTGATGCTGTTCGGCCATGACTTTCCTGTAATGACCTCTGTAATGCGTAGCGACCTGAACAGGTGAGGTTTCTTTTGGTACAACTGGCGAGAGGTTCTGCGGCAAGTATACGAGATGTTTCACCCTGTGAGGGACTGGCAAGGCTGGAGGGCGGTCTATCGCTTGCAGACTTGAGTTGCAGAAAACATCGACATCGGAATTGCTTTATTTTGCATTTGCTGTTGGTGGACGCCCCCAGCAGCACCCAAGGAGGTGTCAGCCAGCAAATTCGACCGCGAGGTCGGTGTTTCTCATTCCAGCGATGAACCAAGAAGTTGGTTGCACATCTGTCAGCACTCGTCTTGGTCTGTCGGGGCTTCCAGAATTTTGTGACAACGCTGCGGCAATGCCTGCCTGGCGACACTTGCATGAATCAGTGTAAATGTTTAGCGGCTGTAACCTCTTGGAACTGCCGGTGCACCTTGGCTGTACACGTACACAAGGACCCAGAAAGGTAGTGCGGTTGCTTGCGTGGCATCAGATTCAGCAGTACATGTTGCTCTACCACGCATGAAGCATGCATGGGCTAGTCTGGGCAAACAACTCGGCCGATTTACTGTCGCTGCAGCACTGGAGACCTGCCCGGAATTTCCGCAAAAGCGGCCTTTCGCGTGGCGTGCACGGTCGAAACATGCCGCTTGGCGTCGAAGCACTTGCATTCAGAAAGTTCACAACGAACGAGCAGCAAGCCGCTGATAAACTCAAAAGCTGTGTTTGAGGTCGGCAAGGTATTCAAGCATGCCGCAGTTAGAAACGGATGACGAGGAAAGACGCTTGGCTGAACGTCATCTACCATGCCTTGAGTTTCAAGTTACCGCAGTATTGACCGCCACGCAAAATTTTCCATTGGGCTTTATTCAAGTACCGCGGCTGGGTGCTGGGCCAAATGAGCACCTCGGCGTGCCGGAGATGGTGTTGGAATCAGGCCGCTGCCGCACTGGGTTTTTGGCCTGTCGAATTGAAGCGTCACGTTCAAGCGAAATGATGTCTTCAATATCACTGCAGACACTGTCCTTCAATGAGTTTGCTTTGCTTTGTCGAGAGAAGAGCCCACAGCGCTCCTTGTATCAGGCGGCGTGACACGCACAGACTCAATGGACATCACGAACGATCCGCGTTTCTTCACGGACAGCTTCGGCCATCTCAGTATTTGGAAGTTTTTTGGTGGAAAACCGGAGATGACTAGGATTTAATCATTCGGCAAAAAGTGGCTGCGGTCTGTGCAGGAGAACGTTTTGACAGCTCGGCTCACTGCATTTGCAAGTCTGGGCATCGTCGCTGGCCTCATGGTGCAGAACTCCTTGGACCCTCCATTGCATATCTTGCTGAGTCACGTCACACCTACTGCCTTGAAGCCTACCCCTGTACACCCAGAAAATCAGCTTGTTCCTGGGATCATGTCGTGAGAGCACGTATGCCATCGGCAGTCATGAACAGGGAGCGAGCCACCTCGTCGGTGCACTGATACAAAAGACATAGAGAACTGCTTATCTAGCAGCTACGTCTTGATTCATTGGTAGATAATAGCGATCGTCTAGTTCACTCATGAGCAACAAATGCGAACTTGCGGACAAAACGTATTTTTGTGATACATAGCCAGAATATTAATGTGTGGTCGGACATTTTTTGCTCACTAGTACAGCATTCGTAGCAGATGACTGTAGACATTTTGTCAAATATCAAACCAAAGCTACTTACCTTGAGTTCAGTGCTTAGGTTGGGTCGGCAATCAGCGAGATTCCGTCAGCATTCCAGCATTTTCTGTCAGTTACAAGAGCTTGCTGTTGTGAGGCATGCACAATCTGATGAAATCGAACGGGCAGATGTTGCTCAAATCGGCTTTCCATTTATCTTTAGCTGTCGTGCTCCACCATGGCGAGCTGGGCCATCAAGTCTGTAGAAACCGTGGAGCCGACAGATGAGGTTGTCACGCGAGTTGCCGCCATCGCTTCGGAGCAGCTGGCAGCCAATGTTCCCTTGCAAACAGAAGGACTTGCGGAAGATGCGCTTATTGCCAAGTTGGCCAGTGAACCTCCAATGGTGGCAGCTTTGGCCAGACACACGCTCCGGAACGTTGAGGTTGCTGCAGCCGCACGCCGTACGCAAGTCACAAGGCGCGAATGTGATGGTGGGTGCTCACGCCGTTCAGAACGCAAGGGCTTTAGCATCCGCCATTGCGCCGTGCAAGCAAGCAGATGTTGCCGACCTCTTGCAAAAGCATCATCTCCAGGGATTGGGCTTTCATCTTCAGGCTGATCAGTGCTTGTTCGACAGCCTTACGGCACACACTGAAGAAGCCAAGAGACAAGGCACAGTGCCGTTTGCCTTTCTGGACATGACAAGCAAAGTGCCTTCCTGTGTTGGGTTCCAAGTGATGCTATGGGTGGAAGGTTCGCTGTCCGTGACGAAGAGGAGATGGCATTGACAGGTGCCAGCCCCGTTGCCAACCTGGGAGACTTTCGTCGCGCCCTAAAAGGGGCCACTGCCGTCCCGCGGGCTTCTTTCGTTCTGTTCAGCAGTGGAGCGCGGCGTTTTGGAGATGGGCAATTGCAGCCGTCTGCGCGGGTCATTGGAAAATGACCGAGGCTGTCGCCCACCATGATGTCATCTTGCAGCTGGCACAGCAGAAAAGGTGAGATCAAGGCCACCTTATGTGGCCTTTCTCTACGATGAGATGGCACATAGAGCGGAGAAGAAAGACCCCAATTGGAACCTCGCGGAAAAGACCCACAAGATCGACAAAGGCTTGCTCGAACTTGTCATGCAGCATTTGTAGCCTCTCCTGCAGAAAG